AGTGCGGGGTGCAGGAGGTGAGCGGCTGCAGGAGTGTGGGCTGTAGGAGTGAGGGGCTGCAGGAGGTGAGCAGCTGCAGGAGTGAGGGGCTGCAGGAGTGCGGGGTGCAGGAGGTGAGCGGCTGCAGGAGTGTGGGCTGTAGGAGTGAGGGGCTGCAGGAGGTGAGCAGCTGCAGGAGTGAGGGGCTGCAGGAGTGCGGGGTGCAGGAGGTGAGCGGCTGCAGGAGTGTGGGCTGTAGGAGTGAGGGGCTGTAGGAGTGTGGGCTGCAGGGGTGAGGGGCTGTAGGAGTGTGGGCTGCAGGGGTGAGGGGCTGTAGGAGTGTGGGTTGCAGGAGCCGGGGCCTGGGCCAGCTCTGCAGTGCAGCTTCCAACGCTCAGCTGCTGCTGCCCCCGAGGGAGCGGGCCAGGCCTGGCGGTGACGGGGGTCCTGTGCCTCTGGGATGCCGTGGCTCATGAGGGGGTGGGGCAGGTTGAACGCAGGTGCATCTCTGCTGCCTCTAGAAACCTCTCCACACGCCAGTCACGGAGTGGAGCTCGAACCCCGTGGAGGAGGAGAGTGGTGATGGGTCGGCCGTGCCAGCGGGTTCTGGAAGGTCAGGTGTGTGGCTGAGCTTCCCTGGCTGAGCAGCAGAGCAGCTAAATGCCAGCAGAGGGGGCGGCAGGGCGCGGGGACCAGTTCTAGCGGCAGGGCTCAGGGCTGGGATCCGCCTGGCAGCGGAGGGTGGCGGCGTGATGGGGATTAAGGATAGGAGGGAGGCTGTTGCAAAGGCAGGTTTTTCTGGGGAAGGAGATGCAGAGGCTGTGGGTGGGGGTACGGTGCCATATCGGACATGGGGATCCCGGAAAGCTACGCCCTGAGAGGGAGGCTCCCAGCCCCTCCCCTGCTTGGCTCCGGGGATGCTTGTGGTCCTGCAGGGCAAAGAGAGGGGCATGTTCTCCGGAAAAAAGAAGAGTCGGAATATGTGCACATGGCACCTCCCATCTCAGCCGCGAGAGCACCTCGCGGGCTGGGCTGCTGTCCCAGACACACAGCCCCTGTCAGCGAGCCTCGCCCCCGCAGACGGCTGATCCGCATTGCTTTACCTGTGGGTGGACTCAAGGTCACCAGGTCTTAAAGCCGCCGACATCAAGGACAGATACCTGCAAAAACAAAACACAAATCAGAAAAGAGAGCTTGGAAGAAGGAAAGACACTGTACAGAGCAGAAGAAAAACCAAAAAAAAAAAAAAAAAAAAATCAAAACCCAAAACTCAAAAACACCACCCGAAACCCTCGCTCTGTGAGGAGTCCGCGGAGAGGGAGGGCAGCTGCGCTCCACGGAAGAGCAGCGGACGAGGAGGGCGTGGTGGCTGGGCCCGGCCGGGCGGCTTCGTTGGTTGGCGCGTGGCCCATGCACCAAGGCAGCAGGTTCAGTTCCCAGGCGGGCACATCCCTGGGTCGCGGGTTTGGACCCTGTGGGAGCGTGTATGGGAGGTGGCTGACCAGTGTGTCTCTCACATCGATGTTTCTCTCCTTCTCTCTCTCTTTCATCAACTAGAAATAGTTAACAGCATGGCAGCTGGGATTCTAAAACCTGACTTGTGAGGTTTGGCTGGCCAAGTGGAGGAAATACCCCAGTAGGTAGAACAAACATTTTACAAAATGAGAGCAAATAGGAGCCAAAACTAAGAAAATGAAAAGATCTCAGAATCCCAGAAGGAAGGGAGTGTGGGAGAGGAGTGATGGAAACCAGGATTTTCAGAACTCACAGACACGAGTTAAAGAACCCCGTGTGTGGCACGGCCACGGGTAAAAGACCACACTGAAGCATCTGAATTACTGTGAAATTAAAAACGGCGATAGAGAAGATCTCGAAGCTTCCAGAGAAAAACGGGCCACGCTCAAAGGCTGCGAACCAGGATCTTAGCGTCTCAGCACAGCGCTGGCTGCTGGCAGACGGGACTGCGCTTTCAGAGTTCTGAGGGAAAAGGCTCCCAGCCAGGAATTCTGTGCCCAGCCAAGCAGCCAGGCACCTGGCAGAGAGGGTCTCAGCCTCACGCTCCGGAAGCAGCTGGAGGGCGGGTCCTGCCACCTAGGAGGGGCACCTGGATAGCGGATGTGGCGCCTCCTCCCTCGGGAGGTCCCAGGACGGTCGTGGAGCAGGAGGGGCACGACCTGGGGCATAGAGAGCTGAGCGAACCCCTGTGTGCTTGGCCGCATGTGGGGGTGTTTGTCACGGAGCGGGGAAGGCTCACTCAGCCGCACAGAAAGCTGAGCCGGCACCAGAGCAGCCGTGGACTCTAGGAAAACAACCCCGTGCAGGAAGGAGGTGTGGCCTTGACTGTGCGCTGAGCGAGACACTCAGAGGCTTCGCATCGTCAGGCCAAGTCCTGCTCTGAGGCATGGGGGGGGG